CAACATTGTATCAGTTTTGTATTACCACAGACATCTATGGAATACATAGAGAGATAAATCTTTCATGTTTGATAAATTTCCGACACTGTTGTATTACGTATTGTCATAAAATTTTCACAGTAAAAAACTTAATGCGCTTCATGAAATATGTACTGAAAGGACAACTCTCTTTCTCGGACAGCGTTATAGATATACTGTCATACCAATTTATCGGAACAAAATAAGACGAACGACACATTATCGCACGCTTTGGAACATTCGATGGCCGCCAGTGTACTTCGTTAAACGCTCTTTCGATTTTCACTCCTGAAAGAATCATTGAACAAAAATCATAGAAGTGAGCCTAACATATCAGAGCACTGAAAAGATACCAAACCTGTCTGTCTAAATCATAACATTTGAGGGATGTCATGCTCGATTCGCGTTGTCTGAAACAAAATCAATATTGTATCACAGGACTTATCTCTGTTAGGTTCGATTCAACAAACATATCGCCTGTTATTATGTGTCTTACTATTGGTTTACTATTTAGGCTGCTACTCTCGTTAACATCTTGTCCGTATTTATAATGGATCATATTGTTTCCTTGATCCTAGTTCTCATAATTTCATAATTATGGAAAACAATTTCTATTTTACTACCTATTTGATAAACTGTAAACGATATCTTTACATTCCAACAGTATTTTCCTTTTTAGTACAATACAATTGGTTTCATGTTTAGAAGAAACGCTTCATAAAACTTAGATAGGCATTATTTTTTTTCATAAAGCTGTTGTTCTGCCATCTTTGATTGATGCAGAGTTAGGGAAAGTCAGTTTAATAAATACAGATGACCAGACCACCATTTTCAATGTATTCGGTTAATATCAAGCAAATGGAAAGTCTTTTCAAAGTCAATGTATCTATTTAACAAAGACCAGACTTAACGACAACCATGGGAAGACTATTACTGTTTTTTTCTTTATAAGAACTTTTATTCTAATGCTGGGTTACGATGCTCCGGCAAGCGAGCGAAAATTTAATGGTATATGCTGTTGTGTATAATTGTGTAGTATGTGTTGTTGGATAGAATTTCTACTTATCGGCAAAATGAAATGTTTTAAGGAGTCATACTGATGACGACATAATTTAATAAGTCTTTCATAAATCGTGATCGTATATCTACAGGTGAAATTTATGCTACCACTGTTTTTGATTATTATCAGAATTTTCAACAAAACATTGCTTCAGAATAGTCCAGTCCAATTTGCTTTCATTACATTATTTTTTAAAATTCATTGTTTTTCATCAATCATTAAAGAGAACTACACAGTATTCCAATTATCTGGTAAAATGCCTTCATGCCTTCATCCATGACAAAAGAACATAGTCATGCCAATTAGAATTCCATATTTCGCGCATTCCAGGGATGGGTGTGTGGTTAGTACCAAATAAAGTTCCATATTGTTTGACCTTGTCTGGTATTTCTCACAAGGGATATAACACCGCTTTAAGAATTCGTAAGTCCCAACAAACAATACATGCTCATGTGGTTTGAGACTAAAATCAAACCAGTTTTATCAAATCAGCGCCGTGTGTGTTTATAACATGATTAGATTACGTTGCTCTCAAAAGAAGAAGAAAAGTCTTGAAAGTGTGTATTTTATAGTCATAGTTTTATTTAAAACTTAATTGCAATTCATCAGCAGTTTATTGATCAGTTTACCATCGGACTCCGTACAATCCGACAGTGTAGCTGGTAGTTTCTCCTGTAATAGTGACTTTATGTTCCTACCACCCACCTATAATGAACATCTATGGGGAGCTTCATGTTCGAAACTCTTCACACTCATGTCGTAATATTTATTTGAAATTTCTCGAGAAAAGCTGTGTGTTCCCAAAGTAGTTTCGTTTTAAGAGCACTTCGTTGGCCAGTAACTTAATATTTGGGAATGTCTCAAATGTTTGCTGGTAGTGATACTTTTACCTTTTGATAAAATGGTTTTGTACGAAAATGTGTCTTAAAATTTTTGTTTCAATAAGACTTATCCTTTTTAAATTTTAATGCCCAATTCATCAACACTTATCACATATTTTACTTTTTATTGATGTATTATATCGATTCCTTCGACAACAAGCTTTTTGGTACGTAACACATATCCTTGTATACAGGAAGAATGTCTCTTATATCCGTCACAAAACTTTTTTTGATTTAGAGCCTCGTGGTCTTGAATAATGTCCCGGTCCTTTATTCGCTATTTCATGATAATAAAGCAAACCTATTTACTCAGAAAATAACATCATTCTGTCCGTTATGTTTCAGAAAAGCATGTTTTAGATATTAGATCAGCGGGAAAACGTTTTGTCAGGATGAAGAATCGTAGATATTTCATATATCAAGAAAGCGTCTTACTGGTGTAAAGAACATGCTGTTACGGAATGCATAACACATTTGCTAGAAACCAGGATCACTTCCGGTGTTTATCAAAAGCATGTCTTACAGACATCAGGGACAAATTTTACAGATATCAGAAGCAAGTTTTCATATATAAGGAACAAATCTTAGATATCAGGAGAGAGCCTGCAGATATCAGACAAATCTTACAAATATCAGGAACACGTCTTCATATATAAGGAACATGTCTTAGACATATCAGGGAAAAGATTGCAGATATCAGGAACGAATCTTACAGATTTCAGGAGTACGTCCGGAGGTATCAATTCAAACACATTTTAGGAACACGCCATACAAATATCAGAAAAACGTCTACAAATATCAGAACATGTCCTACATATATTAGGAACGGGCCTTAAATATATTAGAAACAAATCTGACAAATATCTGAAACATATCTTACATGTATTAGTAACACGTCTTACGGATACAAGGAACACATATTATAGATATCAAGATAAATTATTCACGATTATCAGCATAAGACTTTTAGTATAACAAGTTTAAACCTTAAAGTATCGACATAAGTCCAAAACTCAATAAGATATCATATCACTCCATATTTAAAATCATTTTTAACTGATGATTAAAGATTTTCTTTATCATCACCCCTTTGATATATCTGTTAAAGTTTTTTTTTATTAAATTGATGTATTGTCAGATTTATCTGGCAAAATATAATAAATAGTACTGTCACCAGGCAGATGTATCACCGTCTTATAGGCATCTGAACGACACCCAGCAGATATCACTGAAACGCGTTTTCAGGAATATTAAAAAGATGATGATAAGTTGCCATGAACAGTTGGAATACTTATGTAAGTATAAAGTCGATAAATTGCTTGAAACTAACGTAGAAATCACCGCGCGACAACGCATTTTCCACCGATGGGTTTACAGTATTTTGCCATCAATGTGTCTCAAAATGACTAACATTAAACATTACCTGGGATGTAAGCTTAACAGCCATAATCGATATTTTACGTATTAATAAAATCAGCTCACCCGTAATTGTTTATATTTAGTTACATGATATCTTGCCCTGATAACTATATATAGATGTTTTCACGCACTGGGGGAAATATCAGGTAATATTGATGAAGCCAGCTCTGTATCTCCATGAACGAGGTATGCCCTGTTTTTCTTGTGATAATGTCTCTTTGTTGACAGATTTTGATGATTCGTTACGTATTTTTGTATATTTTATATTCTGGTACGATCGTATTATGATGAAGACCAATTCACACATCTTTATTTTCCGTTATATGTTTATGTAGTCACACATTGTGATCTTAATAGCAAAATGTACGTAGCAGTGACTGCTAATGTATTGTCTTCTATAACGTATGCAGTATATCCATTGACTCATCTGTAACAGTTCTGATGTAACCATGCAGTATGTAATGAATTCCTAAGACACAATACAGAACTTGTTGTTTCTACGAATTCAATGACATTCCGGTCACCAATCCTCATGGGCTTGCTTCTCGACATCAATGACCACAGGAGTTCGCCACTATGAATAACTCTGTGGTGATAAATATTATTTTCTTTACTTTTATCCTTAAATCTTAAATAAAAAAAATTGGGTCATGACATGATTTGATAATTTCAGTCACAATCTGTCGCCTGAAAATTTCCGACAAACGAGTCAATTTACTAAACCTTTCAATTTCTGCTGTTTCCTGTTGCAAAATCTCCGATTAACTAAATACAAGAATCTCTTATCTTTTGTCTACTTAAACCCACTGTTTTGCAAAGGAATATCAACTGGTGTTTCAAAACATAATTCATGTCATCATCTGTTCCTCGAAGAAGTAAGGATGTAAGATTTTTATCATATCGACGACAGAAACAGAGAAATAGTGGTGACAAATCGTCAACTCTGGAATTAATTAAACTTTGACATTTGTTTTTATGCCTAGTTTATGGCCAGTGATTGTATCATAAAACCGAGAACAACAAAATACGTGGTTCAATCGACGACGAAACTTTGACAAAAAACAAACCAATGCATTTTTCTGAAAGGCAATTTTCTTGAATCGTGCAACTCTTAAAAAGAATATCTCCAACTTAATGAAAAAAACTATTCTATAATATATTTTTTTTAAGAATGCACATTGAAATACAATAATTTCCCAAGCTGTATTTTAAGTATTTGGGCTTGGATTAAATAATACAATTGCCACCTGACATGTCGCGCTACATGTGCAATTTAGACTGACAGTTGTCGATTTGAGTATAGGTAAAAAGCTATTCAGTCTATATTTGGTGGACGTTACATGTAAACTCCACTCTAGGGTATCATAAGTTTTAGTAATAAACAAATCAAACAAGATGCCGGTACCAGAGTCTATAAACATTCGTTTATCACATTATCTAATTAATCTTCGCTAATCTTTATCGTTTTTTATAAAAAAAATCGTTATCAGATTGAAATAAACTATTTGAGATATAGTCATAAAACCTCGTGATTTTCATCAAAACATTATCAAACCCTGTGTACAAATTGCTGAGTTCAGTCACTTAGAGAGAGAAATGCATTAATTGAAAGGTCAACTCACATCACCTCTGGACTGACAAAGGCATATTCCATCTATACAATCCCCGTGTCCTGAACAGACGGAATTATCTCCCCTGTCAAAAGATGGTAAAATATGAAATTATGAAATATTACTTGTTACGAGCATACTGAATTTTTTACATAATAATATAATTCCAATCTTTAAGACAGAAAGTAATACATTTCATTTCATAATCAGGAATGAAATTGCTTGTTCAACACCGCTCTGGCATGTTCTGAGCAGCACCGAAAAACGAAATATTTGAAAACCAGTAGATGAAAGAGGGAAATCCCATAACATCAAATAAATATTCAACCATACGATAATACTTATAAGTTATACGGGTTATATGTTCAGGTACAGTTTCGACCTGCACATATATTTGTCTCCATAGGATGAAGTAATAGATTTACTTGTGGTAAATTTAAAAACCATACTGACAAATATGTCAAGAAAAATCTTAATATTGCAGCTGTAGCCGTCTATAAAGCGAGTTGTTGCGCACCCATTCTCAGGAAAATGCATCACACCCATATGCACCACCACAAATAAGTGTTAACAAATGCATAGATAATCGTTTTAACTGAAATGGTACAATGATAGAAGAGAGAGAACATAAACTAATTAAAATGGTAAGTACCGATTCCATGGGATGACGTAATAGAACTTTTTTATGGTTTAAATGAAAGCATGTTGCCTGTTTTGCTTCCTAAATTCACGAACCAATCAGAAACACTTACGGAGCTATGCATTGGTCTATCTCTCTTGAGGAGCAGTTAACACCAATATAACCTTCATCACAAACGCACATACCCATCTTAAGGGCACCGTGTCCGTGACAGGGAGGTGTCTGAAACAGAAACAGATGATTATCTATAGGAATCATGTTAAATTGTGACCATTGAAAAGCATATATGATAACTTTAGATATACCGATACAAGTTAGAATTCAACATCCGGTTTTGAAACAGGAAATAAACACAATTATATTACAGATAATTTTTATACACCAAGATCATAAAAAAGATAACTATCAGGTAAATGAGCTGTTCATTGTCATACAATTATGACATTGTTCCTCCGAACTGGATATATTAGTTTAATTCTATTTATGATTCACAATATTTGCATGTCGGTAGTATGTAACCATTTCTAATCATATCTGATCAATACACGATAGCACGTCAAATAGTATGTATTCATTATCAATGGCATGCAATGTTCTCAAAAGGAAATAAAATGAAATATCTAAATGTTCGCAAGAACAAACGAGTTAGGAAAGGACCTATTAAAGGTTTGGTTGAGCAGAAAGGAAATGCATCAGATTTTCCATATTCGCAGCAACATACCGACACTTTGTATTCATTATTAATCAAATGTTAAGATATTTTGAAATCAATATCTAAAAATTTCAAAAACACATCAAGACACCAAACGAAGATGACATTAATACGAATGAAAATGAAGCTTTTGAGGAAACCTCTTTATATTCTTTGTGATATATACATTATATACGCTAATGTAGAATTTACCGATGGAGCAAATGGAAAAAAACAGGAAAAAAACAGCTAAAAAGAAAATGTAGCTTTACAACTTTTCAATAAAGGTAACAAATCAAGAAATGATAGCCGCGATACGTTTGAAACTGGAGCATTTTCTTTAATGTTACTTTGATAGAATCAGTAAAATTAAAGAACTTAAATAGAATATTCCTTGCAAATCTTAAGTACCGGATGCATATTACAGCTACAAACAGAAACTTAAGTGTTCCTCGTGTACCCTTACCTATTTTGTGACTGGTAATTGAATTATAGAACTGTCGTTTTCAGCCAATTAAGAGATTTAACAGCAGAATAAATCTATATAATAGCGTCATTTTACCGAAAAGAATGGGAAGAAAGTAATTCCTTACCTGAGTCAAGGCCAGATGACCTACAACTAATGTAAAGCAAAAATACATAAAGGCTCGTTGTGAGAACAGAAGTCAAACTAAAGTTTGACTTTTAAATGGTGAGAATAAAGACTAAATACAAATTCTACAACTTTCAAATATCGGTCTTTTACACTGGACGAAGTAGACAGTTTGCCTAGCAAAGACAAGGGGGAATAAATACGCTATTTTAACGAGTAGATCAACACAAACACCATACATACAACAGTGAATGTAAGATAAATTGGTGGGAAAATGATATGTTTGATTTTGTATCCAAAAAGCATAGTCAAAAGACATTAGTATTGCATGTTGATGATCAATAGTCATAGAAAAACGTTCTATCATCAGAAAATAGATTACAGGTATATTTATTCATTGTAGCCATCTAGTCAATTTCTTTTCCTAAAGTATATTTGAGAACATCACATCACAACTGACACCTTTGTAATCTTTGACTTGGCAAGTGTTCATTAGATGTTTCTCTAGCGTGAGTGTGATCTGCATATCTCTAATACATAAATAAACCTAATACATCTATAGTCTAACTACTACATCATTATGAGGAGTGAATCCCATTGATATTTCCATCGGTCATAAAAAGGGTATATGCCTTAGAAATGTATGATATATCGTTTTCTGGTACTTAAAGGGACTAAATGGTTAGATTGCTCTGTTAATTCTCATGCGTTGGATTTCCGGCAAGCATTGTAATACTTTAAATTAGATTCTTCACAAAATTATAACACTCGCCGAGAGAAATTGAAAAAGATTATCAGCTTCAAACCAACGCTATTCGACACTCACTTTTATGTCTACCACCCATCGCTGTTTTGATCGGAGATAGCCGAGTTCTTCACGTGACCTTTCGGAGCCTCGTTTTAACCCATCGTTTTGATGTGATATCTTACTATGTATAAATATGTGAAAATTAATTTGCCAGTCATGTTTCAATTCTTACTTAATCATGCTATACGCATGCGCAAAGATATTGTTTACACTCTCCGAACAATAATGATATGAAACAGTGTTGGGTCGCTCCTATTTTATTCAAGTTTTTGACGTTGTTAAGAAAATGGTTGTGCTAACAGAAAGTATACAATTTTAACAGATATTGATATGTTTTAATGCTTTTTATCAGTTATGAAACATTTAGTCCCTTTAAACGAAACCACAGCATTAAGAGAGAACATATGGAAATACATATGGCGACATCATGTCAAATTCCAATGCATAAAATCTCGTAATTTTCTTAATCTAGATTACTTCCTGATTGTTGATCACTAAATGTTAATCCAAAAGGTTTCCTAGTAATTAAGTTGTGTTAGGAAATTAAGGGATATGTTTTATTTATGTCTTGTAATATAGATATAGATTACATCACGAAAACGTTTAGAAATCACCAATTACTAAAAAAAAAATGTATTGATTTTATAAACTCAACAATTACCTCCAAACACAACAATTACTATCCAACATGTCATTCGGCACAAACCCATCACTTCCGGTTTCAGTTTATGGACGATTTTAGGGAAGAATGAAATTCGCTTCTCTTCGGTGGTGTTCAAGTTGTAGGCGGTGTAATTCTGTAGAAAGATACGTTACCAAAGAAATTAAAACAAATAGGATCAAGGTCACATATATAACTCATCATTTACATATTTTATATCTGTGATGTTAGTTAATGTAGAAGGAAAATATGTATTCTTTAAGCTATACTTTTACTTGATATGCTAAAGAGCACTGTATTTATGGCGAATTTTCACTAGTTTTACCTGATCTGGAATGTGTATCCTCGGTGTTGGCGCTGTATAGAATGTCAGATCTGTTTAAATTGGATTTTGGTGTACCCAAAACACGTAAAATGTTGTTTAAAGTCCATTAAGGCGGCGCACCTAGCCATTTCCCCAGACAATAGGTTAAATGTATCAACCTCGTACATGACATTTCGTACTTCCAAAACAGCATACAAACTCATACATTATTGCGTAAATATGAGAACGTAAATATGTGTATACAAGACTTAAGTTTTTTTCATGATCAGAATGCCGTAAAAAGAAAGTAATTTCCCTGGAAATCACGAAAAGGGCTATTGTATTCTGTACTTCTTTTATTTTATCATTTTGTATTCCGTTCTCGAAAGTAGCAAAAAATACAAGTCGTTAAAAATAGAAAACTTGAAAGTATCCTATCAAATATGTTTAACATCTGAGGACGACTGCTCAGAACCTCAACGTGATATTGGGAGAATGTCCTTGAAATAAGATCTAGATTAAATAAAGATGTTTTAATGACGTCTCTCCTACCACCATCTACTACTTCTTCAAGTGATTTATCTCAAAACTGCAGGTGAAATCTGTTTTATTATCGTCTTCTCCTTGGTGGGAACCATGTTAGACTTTTACAATGTTTAAGTTCGTTTTCCACTAGATCGTTGATCGTCATACGCTGTCTGAACGTTTGAATGTTATTTTTGATTATATTGTGTTGGTATATTATTACAATGTTTTGCAAAACAGTTATCGATGGATCGCGAATCCATCTAATAAAGGTATGTATATACCGGATGAGCAACCTAAATGTCAGAAAACCCCAAGCGGTGTCTTTAAGTTTCTCCATGGTATCATTTTGAAATCTTTACAAATTTAATTTTTATAATTTCCTACTAAGATGAAATGTATCAGATTGAAACAACATGAAAATCAATGCCACCGAATCTTTGAGAACCTAAACTGTCACTGGAATCTGCCACTAAAAAATAAATAATCTAATAACTATTTATAAATGGGCTTTTCCCAAACTCTAATTGTATTTTCTTCAACGACACGAACATCTATTTTCTGAAAAACCTTGCGTTATAGAGCTAGAATCTACATAAATCTAACCGACCAAAATTAAAGGTTTTCAATTCCTGTTTTATTCCAGAATCATGACTTTCAATGTCATTAAAATGCCTTGGCTTCGCGTTCCTCTCAAAAAAAACTATTCACCTAAGTCTAGTACTGCATATTAACCTTACCATGATTATTGTGAACCAATACACCCTTATGTAGAAACGAGTTAGCATATATCAACCTGTTTTTAACGGGTTTGATGAGTAATGTGATATATTGAGTACATTTACGTATCAGGAGTTAGCAGTGAAGTGTCTGTAAAATACTTAAAAGCATGTTTTAATTAAAATGTATTACTTTGACTTTCCTTCAGTTTACTGTCACCTGTCTAATTTCCTATGTTTTACTGTTGAAATGATACTAGCTGTAATATAAATCATTTCAGCTGTGCCTTGTTCCCAAAATAATGCACAGAATATTGACGACTATTACCTAACTAACCTTTATATTGTTATCTGTTATATAATTTCATAGAATATAACTAGATTATCGCTTATATGATTTCATAGAATATAACTAGATTATCGCTTATATGATTTCATAGAATATAACTAGATTATCGCTTATATCATTTCATAGAATATAACTAGATTATCGCTTATATCATTTTATATAAAGGAATGCGATTACCTGCTATAGTAATTTATAGAAAAAAGTGAGCTTATCTGCTACATCATTTTATATAAGGAAGTGAGATAATCCGTTGTTATGCTATCTTATAGAACGAAGTGAACTTATCTGCTACACAATTTCATAGAATGAAGTGAAATGACCTGTTTTTGTTATTTTATAGAAAAAAATCAGGTGAAGGTCTCGTGTCCATTGCTGAATGAACCGTGTGTTTTCTCACACTGACGAGAAAAGGTTAAATTGCTCTACATCGATTCTATGGCATATGTTCCTGACCAGTTACAATTTTACAGCGTATTGTTGCCGTTCCAAGAATGTCTTATATCACCATAATATTTTGAAAATAAGTAGAGAGAATAAAGTCTATGCATAAAAAGGAAACCCGGTGATTTTACGTCCACAAAGTGCTATCAGTTGTTCCGAATTGACAATTGATATTGAGTAGGAAAAGTCCTTATTGAACATCTGCCAAAGTGTCTGCATCAGATTCTGACAATTTTTGAAGGATGAGCTATTGTGATTATGCGGTTATTTGTGGAAAAGAGAGAAACATTTCCCGTGACCAAGGCCAGACTAATAACATTTTTCAAGCTCGTGCAATCAGCTGCTTATTGGCACTGTTATTATAGCAGACGTGAAATTATGTTTTCATCAAATGTTTCTGGTTTGATACAGTTGTACATTTGGTAAGTTGTATTTTATTTTTTAAAAACCAAGACGACAGTAATTATGTTACATCATGCCAAGTTAATTGAGCATATCTCGAAAACGTCTTGAACAAAACGGTGCTTACACATTTCCCGACATCACGAATGTGACGCCATAAAAACAAGCTACTTTTATATGTTTTATTTGGACCTATAGAAACATAAGAATTATTAAGTGTTGTTTTTACATAGATATACTATACGTTATATCCAATTATCATTGTTCGGCTTTATAAACTGAAATATTCAATCTTATCCGCAAACGCAAACTTCCGCATTATTTTCCAATCAGCGGTACATGTACTTACATTTTTCCCGGAATAACAGCAAAAATAGGAAACTCAATGTACGATGTATTTTTATGTTAATCCCGTATGTTATAAATAGTATTAACATATCTTCAAATTAAAAGAACAACATATATGGACTCTAGATACCAGGTGGGATGAAAGATAAACATTGATTGGATGGTCGACTGACGCCGTAGGCCAGGGTTTGATTCTCGGTCAACACTCGTCCATCTATATGAAAACCGAGTATGGTATGTGGTCACATGAGTTCCACTAATGTTATACCGGCGGGCTAAAACATCTAGATCTACCGTGTTTACGTTGCTTGGATAACCTCGGATTTCATTCCTGACGTGATCGCGCGTAAAAGTCGACAAATTAAAAAGAGCCTCGAATGTTCCCTCCAAAAGCGTTAACATTGTTATAATTGTACAAAAGACATTTAAGCAAACAACATCTTATAGCGAAATTCAAAATTAGATACAGTAGTACCAGATAAGGAAGAAAACCGCATCGTACAACTGTTTCATCCTTCTAGGACCGTTAGTGACAGTAAAGGGCCAACCTTTAAGTCTAGGAGGTGACTGAGAAAATCTAAAGTGATAGAAAAAATATCAAAATGTAAAAGGTGAGGTGCATTTGCCCCGTAATTCAATTAATTTTAAAAAATCGAATAATTCCATTACTGATAAATGAGCTCCATCCAATCGCGATGTTCGTTTAACTTAAATATTTTTCAACTGTGCACATAGATTGGGGCAGGGCACTATGTGCGCATTTTGGTAATAGGGAGACTTCATTTTAGTTATTTTTCGGTTACCAAGGAAACAAAAAGACTCGGTATTCATGTTTCCTGGATTTTACAATCCGAAAACCTTTGAACTTATCCCAACAGAATCGGACAAGTGCCCTAGTTGTGTTACTCGCTTTTGCATTTTTTGTAGCTATCTTTAGAAGGGCACGAGAGTGATTAACATTATGTTAGTTGAAGGAATATGAGTGTCGGTAGAATATTGCTATCTGTGCCGTCTGGGTGGGGGATACTAGCACAGTGAAAGTCTGCCGCCATTTATAAATATTTACTTTTTTTCTTCTTTTTATACGCCCGTCGTATAACGGCCGTATTATGGTATGGTGTTGTCTATTCGTCCGTCTGTCCGACCCACCATCCGTCCGTCGTAAACCTTGTTTTTCCGGGCTTTCCCATCTCGGTATTGTTTTGTTATTAGCTTGCCCTACTTTCTCGTCTTTTTTATTTAAATTATGAGCGCAAATCGTGCCAGTGATTTAATTTCAAGTATGAATTATAAGTGATTTATTGATACCCTGAAACATGTTAATGTATTTTTCTTGGATAATTTTCATAGTCTATATCAAGTATAATCATAGTCAACACACGTTTCAAACCGTGAACGGATTTCACTGTACCGCCTTCCTTTATGTTTATCTTGTTAAATTGTAACAATAACTGTATTTTTGTATTGCCAGTATTGTAATGTCATTAAATGATAAAACTATATATATTGGGAGAAGGCGTTGATAAGTTACAAGAACTCGTGCCAAATCCATTGCCTATCTTTTGGCAATATATATGTGTTAACTTAACGGCTACTTTTATAAAGCGTCAGTATTGTAGTGTCATGTATAATGTATATTGGGAGAAGGCGTTGATTAGTTGCAAGAACTCGTGCCTAATCCATTGTCTATCTTTGGCAAAAGATATGTTTTATTTTAACGACTACTTTTATAAGGCGTGTGGGGTAGTTAATTGGTAAAACACAGTTACATTTATCACTATAATGACAACGGACAAAAGCACATGTGTTTCCCGTAGTAGAATTTCTTCCCCAGTAATAGCGTGCTATAGATAATGTCACGCTCTTTTCTGTAACTTGTTAAAATTCCATAAAAAACCTAAACTGTTGTAGGGGTGTTTATTGAAACGTATTCCAAGACACGTATATAACTATATGAGATAATAATTGTGTGAAACTTTAAAAAACACCTTCCCGTTATATTACTT